ATGCATATGTAATTTCTCAAATGTCATTAGAGGTTTAACATTAAATGAAACATCCAGCTAGCTATGTGCACTTGTCTAGACACAACACGTGTTTTTCCAGTAGGACTTGGGCAGTCACAATGATTCAAACTCTTCCACAGTGCCTATAGCATGAGATGCACTTTGAGGGGAAAAAAAAAAAGTAGAGCAGAGGTGCTGAGACTTCCTATGGGAGTTGAGTAAATGTAAATTTTTACTCTGAAACGAGATATCCTTCCATGACAATAGGACAGAGGAAAACTGCCACAAGTGGGAGGCTTGTAGGATAAACAGGTCAAGCCTACAAAGGAACACGCCTCAGAAAGTGATCTTTCAACATGGGAAGTTGCTAATAAATTCTCTCAGGTTTTTCCTCCCATCTCTGTGGCAATCCACAGCAAGTCTCCATTAGTCACTAAAAGTATTAACCAACTCAGATGAGATTTGCTTGACCTAAAATATCATTTCCTTTGTGCTACTTAACCAAAGATGAAGAAATGCAATGAATGTCTAAAACACCACTTAAACTGTTCACTGAATTAAACTGTATATCATTACAAAGCAAACAAACAAAAAAGGAAAACAAAAACAAACAAAAACACAAATAGGATGGCAAAGTTCTCAGTTCCAGCCATCAAATAGAGATAATTCCAGGAGACTTATTTTCATACAGAACACATCCATGAATGACCAAAATGCCCTCTAAATTCTCAAGGTGAAGATGAATAGATGATTTTGTTCTTTCCTGATCTACTAAAAGCATGACTTTTTAAAAAATTAGTATTATTATTATTTTCTTTTCCTCTTTAGTTGCAGACTCAAACAATTACTACACTGAAATGGAAAGAGGAGGTTTTACTTTCTGTCAGAGATCAGTGAGAGTTGGCACAAGCTCTATCTCCAGAGACTAATGAACATTTCTTCAGACCCAAGCCAACCCATGGACCTTGGCTGGCTCACTAGTCGGTCATGTGGAGCTCACAGCTTTTACAGGAGTAAATTGGTGTTGACCCTGTTGAGAAAATAGGCCGTAATTTTTACTGCATTTGGTACTTCATGAAAGTGATCTTTCACTCATATGAATAACATGTGGTTCATATCAAGAGAGAATTAAACGAAATTTTCATATTAGCCACAGAGAAATATGTGTTTCAATCTTATTTTCTTTCAGAACTGAAGAGCTCAAAGCCAACTCGTGAACCACACCAACAATCAAAGTGATGGTGAAAGATAGCTTGGCAGTTGAAACAGAAATTTGACCACATGTCTGACTGGGATCATTTATCCAGAAATACCATCAAACTGCTGTTCTTCCTAGAAACACTGATGGTTTCCATGACAGTGAAAGAGCTGAAGGATGTACTGTCTCTGGGGCAGAGGAAAAATAGACCCCATACAAAATCAAAAGGGGAAGATGCCTTAGAGTTCACATAGAACTTCTAAATGATTCATTTTGCAGAGAACAGTACCAGCGGACACCTTCACAAGCTAGAAGATGTTTGCTTTCCTTTTCTGCCCTCTGGCTCCTTTGGACTATATCACTTTTCATGCCTCAGCTAAGTGCTGCAATGGACCAAATTTCCTTTGTGCCAGAGAAACAAGTTTCTAACACCCCACTATTTCTAAGCTTCCCAGAGTCTGATAGTTTTCTTAACAGACAGGAAGCAATCCGGAGAGCTGCAGTGCCAATCACTGCAATGCAAACAAGCATGCCATACTCCCTATAAGGACTTGGCAGGACTCCCAAGGGGACATCTGTTGTAATTCAGGTGGTACTTTCCCAGCCTTTCACGAACAGAAAGGTTTTGACTTGTTACATTTAATTCACCAAAGAAAATGTAACAAAAGAAAATCCAGTGGTGACTTATATTCCACAAAGATGAAGACAATAAAGTTATTTTTCCTCTAGCTAATAAGAGAAAACTAAGGAGGATAAAGCACTCCTGGCACAGCACAGTATACAAAAGAGGAGCTAAAGCAATGCTCCACAAGCAGCTTACGTTTACCTTGTCATCACAAAAACTCATCACAAAACTTTTACATACTCCGGGCTACTTTGCTAGCATGTTCTAACAAGAGCTCCAGGCCTTCCTTATGCAAACACATCAGTATGCCACCACTGAAGTGTTGCCAATGAGAAGAATGAAACTCCCAGTGACACAGAACAATGATGAATGACAAAGCTCTCAGTTCCATCCCGCACTGCTACCAGCAGCCACTACCCTGTGTGGTGCAGATGGGAATGTGCACTTTAGCAACATGTGAGTAAGAGCAACTGCTCTGGTGCTTTGTTAAACATTTGGAACAGATAAAGAGGAAAATCTTTGGGAAGAGGATTGGTGCTATTTGCTTTTCATTCAGTCAACCATCAAACCACATTTTCAGTCTCAATTTTCTGCTGCCTTTGGGCAAGAAAAGGCCAGGATTATCTGCTCTGTTCCTTTAAGGATGTTGAAAGTGAGCCAGTGGGAAGTGTTCTCAGAGGTGGTGTCCTCAGAACAAGTTGAACTACAAGAACAGGACAAGCAAGGAAGCCAAATAGAATCCAGAAGCTGCAATTCACAGAGGACAGCTGAAGACTAGATCCCAAAAAGGGACCTTTCGTGTGGAAACAAGAAAGGAGGGGCTCAAGCACACAAGGTATGATTATATATGAGCTTTGAAATCAGAAATCCAACAGTGATGAAAGAAAGATGGAGGGGAGGAGAGCACTTTGGTGGGGAACTGAAGGGCCAGGCCAGGCCACATAGGAGAAGGGCTGGTGGCCCTGGTACCAAGTAAGAAATGATGGAGTGTACTGGGAAAACAAGAAACGTGTTTTTTTCTGTGGCTGCACACCAAAGATTTTCATCAACTCTCCAAAACTCAAAAAAACCAAGAGTTATAAAAGATAAATTGATCATCAGGTGTGAATAAAAGAGAGCAAGTCTGTTCTCTCTGTCTTAAGCATGAACACACAGATTTTGATCTCAGAGGTTTGTGATTATGAGTGCAGAAAGGAGCAACGGTATCAGTGGCTGGCAAAGCCAAGCTGGGACAGCAGCAGAGCTCTTTGTGATTCTGGGGTGCAAGGTGAGTGTGCATACTGCTGCAAAGAGAGAGGTACTCACCTCCTGCTCCCCACAGACAGAGCAGGCTGTCCCCACAAGCTCCTAGCACTTCCTGGCTCTGCACATCTGTTAAATCGAGGGGGAAATTTCTCATCTGAAGTATCTGCTAGTCATGCAAAGGTTCCTCGAATAGTAAGCCTGCTGTGCTGGGGAAGGAAGGATGCTCATACCAGGGTGCTCAAACCTGAAGATTTCTTTGTACACAGCTCAAAACAGAGATTGCTGCACGAGATGCTACAACCTTACCACAAATGGCCAGTGTCAGAAGGCAGGTCACAGCATTGAGTCCCAGGAAATGCAGCAGTCTCTGGACTCCCCAGGAGTCTGCCCATGTCCCACTCACATCTGAAGACGTGGGATGTTTAGAAGGGTCTGCCACACTTAGAAGAAATGGGATGTTTAGAAGAAATCTGCCACACTTTCACTCCATATGGCCTACTGGGTATAGAACAAACCCAGCAGGACCTAAAAGAGACAGGCATATTTAACCTGAGGATCTAGTTTGAAAAAGATACAAACTGGGTAAGTCACAGAACTAACCTCTGTTGATGCTCTGCATTGAAGTGCAAGAAATGCTTTTCAGCCCCTCTTTCTGATGCCTGTCTCAGAGTCTTTGTGTGCCACATGAAGCATGCATGTGGTGTCAGAGTGCTGTAAGGCATTAAAGGTTATTCAAGAAAAGAAGAGTAGGAGGATGTTTTGGTGACCAGTTTAGGCAGAGCCCAAAGTCATCCTTGCCAAATCCACGTTCACAGCACAAGCAACTCCAACAACAGGGAATGAAGAAGGGGCAGAAATGCCTTTCCTTTAATTCTATGGATGTATCGCGAATTTTTCTTGAGACATTATCTCTTTGCTGGGGTCATCTTGCCCTCTAGTGGTTCACACTACAGAGCTGACATACAGCTGTAATTTCCGCTGTAAATCCTGCAACATTTATGCAGAAGTTTCGCATAATATGAAATAATTCCAATTCTGCTTGATTTGCACTGTTTCTATGCTCATCATTAGGAAAATCTGAAGTCATGATATGAAGTTATACAAGATGTAAAATGCTTGCTACCTCATTCTTTACATTTCATACACCAGGTAACTTTTGTACCCTATGAGAGGATCCTCCACCCAGCCAGCCTGGAGTGACACTGTCGACACATGCACAGACATTTTCATTTGATTTGGAAGAAGCCTTCCTCATTTTTATTTTTTTTTAATCTTAATTTCTGAGGAAAATGGTGCCCACAAAATACTTCTATTTTAAGACGAAGGCAATATTTTGCCTGAAAAAAGTTGTTAGGAAGAAAAATAGAGATGACATCGAAAACAGAGCAACAGAAATAAAATCTAGAAACGGGAAACCTACAGAGGGCTCCAAAAGATAGACTGCATAAGTTTAGATTCCTGATATTATCTAGATCAACATGAATATGGAATGTAACTTACACTGTACCCATTTCCTCTGCATGCTCCCACATCATACCCATTCTCATTTCTCTGGCTCTGTCCAGCAAAGTTGCAACAAGGTTTAATTTATTCCTTAAGTCTCAGCTAGAGAAAAGAGCTGAAATATCTGCTTCATTTCACTTTAACTGCTATATTTGTTAGTGACTGACCTTCTGGGCTCCAGTTCTCCATAACAGGAAAGCCAAACATCTCTGGGGGGGGGGGGGGCACGGAGAAAACCAGTGATTACAAAATAAGCTTATTATTCAGTAAGGTGCTTGGTTGAGATCAGCCATGATGTCAGAGAATCGCAGTACTCAGCTATCTTCATCTAGGAAAGCTTTTTCTGTGGTTAGCTTGCTCAGTACAGAATGAATGATAGTGTAATTTGTCTCTCATTTACAGATCTTCCAAATCTTTATACACTGTCAACAGAGAAACAGCAGAGGTATGTAGAGAAAGCTTTTCACTTTTGATCTAAGAAAGATGTTTTCCAGATGCCAACATTTAAAGAACACTACTTAGCACAAGAAACCAGAAAATATATTGAATGACAAAACATCTTTGTGTTTTGGGCAGTGTCAGCTAAGAAATCTCCTCCCCAGCTTTGCCATGGGCTGCTGTAAGAATAAGAAAAGCAACACCTGGACTTTTCCCACCCTGATCCTCTGCCTCTATGGATTCTTCTACATGATGAAGCCATCAGAACCTTTTCTAGCCCCTTACCTAACTGGACCAGATAAAAACTTGACAATAGATGAGGTATGATTTTCTCTGCTTTTTGTGTTCACAAAATGAAATGTTGAACTTTACACAAAATTTTAAACAGTCTTTGCAGGTTACAGTTTGCAGGTGGCGTAAATGAAAAAGATCTGAAATACACATAAACAGGGTTTGTAAAACTTAAGATTCAGTACTCTGTTTAATAGACCTTTGATGCTTCAGAACACAGTTTCTATATATGACATCTTTTTCATCCCTTCTATAAATCAATTTAAATAGATGAACTTATTTTCACCAAGAAGAATAAGATATCTTCTTCACTTCCAGGTTACCAACCAGGTTTTCCCAGTTTGGACATACTCCTACCTCGCGCTCCTTGTCCCCGTCTTCCTGATTACTGACTACGTGCGCTACAAGCCCATCCTCCTCCTCCAGGGCATCAGCTTCATTGTCACGTGGCTCCTGCTCCTCTTTGCACAGGGGCTGGTGGCCATGCAGGTGATGGAATTCTCCTACGGGATGGTGACAGCCACCGAGGTTGCCTACTACGCCTACATCTACAGCGTCGTCAGCGCTGATCGCTATCAGAGAGTGACGAGCTATTGCAGGAGTATCACTCTCGTTGCAGCCACCCTTGCTGCTGTGCTGGGACAGCTCCTGGTTTCCTTAGCAGACGTATCCTACTTCCACCTCAATGCCATTACTCTGGCCTCTGCGTCCTTGGCCTTTGTGTGCTCCTTTCTCCTCCCAATGCCTCAAAAGAGCATGTTCTTCCATAGGAAAGGCCCCTCAGAAACCCTCCCACAACCAGACAAAGCTGTGGCTGGGCTCAGTTCCAACACGTCATTGAGCTGCCAAGCGGACAAGGACTGCGCAGCTGCTGACACGGGAGCGACTCCAGCGCAGCAGGCTCAGCAGCCCGAGCCCCAGCACCACGTGCTGAGAGTACTGGTGCAGCTGGGCAAGGACCTGAAGGATTGCTACAGCTCTAGGAAGCTGCTTTACTGGTCCCTGTGGTGGGCTTTGGCTACGGCAGGCTTTAACCAAGTTGTGAACTACATCCAAGTGCTCTGGGACTTCCGAGCCCCATCTCACAGCTCTGCAGTGTACAATGGAGCTGTTGAAGCAGTGGCAACATTTCTGAGTAAGTTACATTCTAAGAATCAATCAAAGGTGGCATCTAAAGTTTTACTTTAGAACATTTTTTTAGTTCTTTTTCATTGCAGATGCTGCAGGAAAGCAGTATACAAGTTGTGCATTCAAAAAGTTTTTCTTTGATGTACAAACAGCGCAAATGTGAGCTAAGCTGTTGTTCTATATGACTGGGGCAACAAACTTTATCTTACTAGTATGCAGAGAGCATAAATCCCATGCATCTTACATTCATTTGAAGGCACACTTGCCTCTTTTGACGGGGTTTTGAGTTTTGTTTTCTATTCTCTCCACAGCCTCCCTGCCAACCAAGTATCACTACTGTTCCCATAGCAATAGCATAAAGATGAGTTTTCCATAAATATTTTACACACAAAGAGCATACACCTCTCATTAAGAGCTGTCTCTAGTGAAATGTTCTTGCACAGCAAGAAGCAAAGAATTTCAGTCATTTCAAGATATGGAGATTTACAGGAAAAAGTGATTACTCAGTTTGCAATGGTACTGATGTTAACAATTACTCTTGCAGTGGGAGCAGATGTCCACACTGCACAAGCAAAGTAATGTTATCCAAAGGCAACGTAAGAGGATACCACTTCGACTTGGCAGCATTTCACATTCATATTGTGCTGCAGTAGAAGTAATTGGGCTGTGATGCAACAGAAAATTTAGATATATCTTCATTGTTAACTGGCCTTTCACTACCCTTACTGTCATTAAGGAGAGCCAAATACTTCTAAGTTTAAAAGTTACTCTAATATGGAGGTAGGCAGCTAACGTAGACCAACTGAATGATGCACTAAAAACACTTAACTCCTATGGTGCCTATTCAGTGAGGAAAACTTCTCATGGCAATGCCTACTTTTCTCATCGCAGAGGTTTTTAAATTGTATGAGATCCCATAAGATGGTCATCTGGATGGTTTACCTTCAAAATAGATGTGTTTTTGTAGGAAACCCACTAAGATCAAATAGCACCTCCCCATTCTCTTTTTTTTTTTTTTTTTTTCCTGAGTATATTCACTTGATATTTTACAAAAGTCCTCCTTTTTTGGGTATCTTAGCTCCTTATTGGGCTGCACAGACCTAAACCATTGACCTACGAGGAAAAAGCTTGCTAGCTTGTCTATAGCATAAGCTCATAGAAACTAGGAGAATTGTTCCTCAAGCTCCAAACAGCATTCCTAAATCTCTTCCTAGAAGCGCATGCTGCCTACATGCAAATAATGAATCCTTACACAGGACAGCTTATCCAAGAAGTGGAATAAAACACAAAGAAAAGAATGGCAGATACTTCAAACTATTGTCTAAAAACAACCAGTCATCTGCCCAATTTCAGAACTAGTCTACTTCATTATTCAATGCTGCCTTTTTGTAGGTGAGGGTGGCAAGCCTTAGTGATACAGGCAATGTAACAGATGTGATGTTTGCTTCTTTCTTATTACTTTTTATTTTCTAGGCTCTGTAGCATCTTTCATGGTAGCATATATGAAAATGAACTGGGACCTATTTGGAGAACTGGCATTAGGAATCTTCTCCATAATGGATGCTGTTTCTTTATTTCTCATGCACTTTACCACCAATATCTGGGTGTGCTATGCCAGCTACCTAATTTTCAAGGCGAGCTATATGCTCCTTATAACAATAGCAACGTAAGTATTAACCCTCATAGCTACCATGACATACATAATACTTACAGTACTTTAAGTTTACTTTGGGCATCCCTCTTGTTACTCTCATCTAGTACGAGATGTGAGTGTTCAGGTAAAGACAAGGACACTTAAGTGTCTGCTTATGTTCTAAGTATCCTTCTAAACAAACATAAAGAAAAGTTATTAAAAGAGCACTCAACAATTGACTATGCAGAAGTTAAACATAGTATAAGGTATATTTACTACTAAAGGCCATAACAGCAAAGCATAAGTTACTTTCCCCTTGCACATATGCTGGCACAGGAGATGCAAAGTGAACCACAGGGACAGCACAACCATCTTAGAAAACCATCTTCTAAAATCCCCTTATATATATCAGACTTTGCTGATATATATAATCCTCAATGATATTACAGTGTAAACATGAAATAAAAGAGTATGGGGCATTTAAACTCAAACAAGACATCTGATGAGATCAAGTTATTTTGTTGTCAGAAACTGAAAATATAATATACATAAAACATTTTATTACACCATTTATTGTATTGATAGGTTGTTTTTAGCATAAAATTACCATACTACTTCTTTAACAAATAGCAAATGCACTTTTGTGTCAAAACCCATAATGATGCAGTCAACCAAAAAAAATAGAGATAAAAGTACAGGACATGACAAAACAACACTCATCTTTAACAAAGTCAATTAAACTTTCCACTTATATTTTGGTGGATTTTTAGTACATTGTAATGGATCACACCTGAACTTCTTTAACGTATTCTACAGAAAAAATAAAAACTTGCATCAGAAAGCTGCGAAAAATCAGTTCAAAGCATTCTGCAGGGATATTTGTTCAGATAGAAACTTGGGAGGTAAATATTGCTATGAAAGACTATTGCCAAAACAAGATTTACATCAGAAAAACTGGTTAGAAGATATAACTGTTACCACGGCCATTATTTCTCTTTCTTGCCTTAACGAAAGTCTCTGTCTCAACCTGTGAGTTCTAATTTTTCCCCCCTGATTCTCTCCCCCATCCTACCGGGGGAGGAGGAAAGAGCACACAGCTGCTTGGTGCTGAGCTGCATGCTGGGTGAAACCTCAGCACCTGCCCATCTCACCATAGGTTCCAGATCGCAGTCAACCTGAGCATGGAGCGTTATGCTTTGATGTTTGGGCTGAATAACTTCATTGCACTGGTGATTCAGACCATCCTTACAGTAGTTGCTGTGGACTCAAGAGGCCTGGGACTGGACATCGTGACTCAGGTATGTGCTTGTTAACTTGCTTCCCTTTCATTATTCAGCCAATTCATCTTCAGAAGTTTACAAAAAGAAATTATAATGCAAAGGATAATGTCATTCCCTTTCTTCTATAGAAATCGAGGCAGCGTATCTGGTGTTAGCCTTCCTATTTGCCTTTTAGTGCGGCTTTTGAGATGTCTAATGATGAGAAACAACTTTTTGAAGGCGATGACTCCACACCTTCAATAAGTAGGCCCTGATACCTAGTTTTTGCTAATTCATAGGGCGTTGAATAACATCCTCTGCCCAAAAAATTAGGCTGGTTCTCAGATGTTGAATCAACATAATCCCACACTGTCAGGGGACCTCAAGACCATGAGACAGCATGAATTATTGAAATTACTTCAGTTCAAGGACACTTGCCTTCTAATTGCAGCTCAAGAGTAAACCTGATCGATATCTCAAGATGAATAATGTCTCACTACCCGCAGCTTGGTCATTCAATTTGGCATGGGATACCCTCTCCCACATCAGTGTCCATAACTTCAATCAGACCAATTCCATTCGTGACAGTCAGTTGAAATTTACCAACTTCTGCATTATCTCAGTTGGCATCCGGGAAGCTGAGGCAACTTCCCTCCCTTGGATATGAAGAAAATTAAAACTATCCAAATGTTCTCCATGGAGATGACAGATACTTGGATAAATGAAAGATTAGACGAAAGATTAAAGATTAGGTCTTGAAGATTAAGGACAGGAACACCCACAGACTTCATAAACAGACTTCATAAATAGGCTGCTGTTATTGGAAATACTGATTCAAATTTGTATTACATTTACTGAACCCAGTGCAGTGATCCCAGTGAAATGTGCGAGTAAGAGCAGGAAAAGGACAAACTTGGACTCTTCACTTGCATGATTCATTACAGTGTGAGTAATGAACATGCTGTCTCTACATTTCACAATAATATAAAAAAAAATCCTGTTCCTATCCCTTCCTCCCTCTGATGTTTAATAGGAAGCATAAGGATTGGGAACAACGTGGCAGTTCTCCATTCTTCATAGTACTGCTTTCTGGAAAAGCTAAGATTTCGCTTAATGACAAAGCAAAAAGTTCAAACATTGAAACTATGCCAGAACACAGGTGAACAAAACTGTGTCTGTTTTCAGGAGAAGCAGTGCTTCTCAACCATGTGTTTTTCATCAATTTTTCTGCTTTCTTTTTTTTTTTCTTTTTCCCTCTAGTTTTTAATTTATGGCAGCTACTTTTCAGTCATAGCTGGGATTTTCTTGATCAGAAGCATTTGCATGCTTGTCTCAAGAAAGCGCAACAGGAAAACAGTGAGATTTTGGGAAGTGCCTCAGAACCCCACTGAACATGAATCAAAAGAGCAGACTGTAACTGGCTGTGCGACACGGCTGTAAGAGTTGGGCAGACCGCTCACGTGGCCAGCCCTCGTGAGAGAAGAGCTCCTGCTGCAGCATACAGGGAACCACTGTGCAAGAGGAACTTACAACGCAGCCCCGAAAAGCTACGCTGAATCATTGCAGCACTTCCTTGCAACGTATGCCAGCTAAGATCAACATAATGGCACTGTACCAAGAATAAAAGATAAGTTACTTTAGAATCTTATTTACTTTCCTATAAATAGCTTGATAGCAGTAGTTTAGACATAAAAAAAAAAAGCACAGTAACCACCTTGGCGTTATGCTGTGCACAGTTGGAAAGATCGGAGTTCGCTCTGCTTCCTTGTCTAATTCTTGCAACCAGTGTTGCCAAGCTGCTTCCATGCGCACTTGCTCGTGAGTGCACATGAGCCTATTCTCTACTTCTGCCCTTTGCATGTACCTTACTCTGAGCTGAGGAGGAAGATATTGCATCATTATACTCTCTCCTACCCAAAGACAGGCATTCAGTGGTAGATGACTCCCTTCTAATTCAAAAGCCCACCACAGAAGCAGGCGTTGTGCACACAAAAGCTCAAAGGCAGTTTGCACAACCTTCAAAACTCTGCAATGCCACAGTTACTGTATTATCCTTGTCTGAAAGCAGCAACCTAAGCGGTGCACTGAATTCACAGCGATCTCAGCATGGAAGGGTAAAAAAAATTTGGATTCAAATCTCCACAGACCACTGAAGGTTGGCCGTGTCCCTTTGACTTCCACACTTAAGATATTTATAAACATTAATAAGATCCCCTCTGAGTCTTTTTTCTCAAGGCTGAACAGACCCAGGTCTCTCAGCCTGTCCTCATAGGGGAGGATGCAGTGTGGAGGCGGAAAAGAGAGATTATAAGTGAGTTTGCACAGTAAATACTTAGTTTGATACAAAAATATATCCACATGTTTAAGTTATTTCTGTACTGCAGTTTGCTTCAAGCTTGCAGTACCTACATCTAACTAATAAAAATAGAAAACACTTAGCATTTGCAGAATATTTTTCCTGTGGAGAGACAAGATACCACATGTACAAACATTTTCGCTTTTCATAAACTGGTCATCCTCTGCAACCAGCAAACTATCCTAAATATCCGACTACAGGAGTGAGAGCGGGCAGGAAAGAAGTTTGCTTCAAGTCTCACGAAAATCAGTGGGACTTCACCAAATGAAGGCAGCTTTTTTTCTAGTCAATTTGTTTAGTGTTGTGCATTGTGTAGATATCCCCAGTTGCAAAGAGGCTTTAAGTAGAACAGTTTAACCAATGCAGTATAAAAGGAGATGTACTTACTCTCTGCTAAACAGTACCTTGTTACTACAGAACTACGCATGTGGAAAAAAGGAACTCGGAATTTCCTCAAGCTGTCTTTGGTACAAAAAGTTAAATATCTCCCTACAGGTAGCATCTGGTAAAAGGAAAAGGCATTGGCAACAAGCCAAACTCTGCTGTTATGTAAAAATGTATTAGCAGTAGTAAACTTCAGAAAAGGAGCTAGAAAAAAAACAACCGATAGAAGTAACATTAGAAGTTCCTCTGTTTTGAGTTGGTCACAGCTCGCCGTCTTCCATGCACTGCCACTAAGGAGTAAAGGAACCAAGCAGATAGTATATGTAGCTTTTAGTTATAGAGAGCACTGTCTTCCAAAAGCAGACAAGAATATACGCTTACATTCCTTTTATACGCTTACACTCCTGTCCTCTAGAATTTCCAGAAGATAGATTCTGGGGTTAGGAGTTTGGAGGAGTATTTGGGAGGGGAAGGGGGATAGGGAAGCTCTTAGGAGCATTAGGAATGACAAGACAATAGAATCATAATCAGCAACAGAAAGGTAAAGCCTCATGTTATCCTGAGTTTTCAGCAGCAAGACAGTGTTGACCCAGCAATCAGCACTGGTTTCATCCAAGCGATTGAGATGCACGCGTCCTGCTGTGTGTTCATGTACAACACACACGCTTTGAAGAAGCCACAATTGAGGTTTGGCAGGCACCAGCAGGGCTTTTTAGATCTGCAGGAAAGTGAAACTTGGAACAAATCCACCTCCCCTTGCAGCTGAGCTGAACATGAAGGGCTCATCTCTAAGCATGCCAAAGGATTCTGCATAACCATCACTGTCCCAAGTGACAGCCCCAGCTAAGAGCAGCACCAACTGCCCTTGAAGCACCACCGGGTTGGGGGACAAGTCTTCCATTAAGATACAGTCAAGCTGGTGAGGCCCATTCTGGAAAACCAAACAGCACGAAAATTGCATCTTTTCATTCAAAGCCAGGAGGTATTAGGCAAGCACGGTGTGGGCTAGCAGAGAAATCCTGGCCAGCAGCCACCTCTCAGCCAGCCAGGTGATGGACCACCCAGCAGTGTTTTCTCCACACACTCACCTGTTATTGGAAATCAAGATCTGAATTTAGGGTTGGTTTTTGTAACCTTCCTCTGAGGTTGCAGCAATGCTGCCTTTGTATACTATTCAGACAAAGTATTTCCAACGTTAAGACAGAGCTCATAGCGTGCTGTAAGCTGCCTGGGGGCTTTCATTGCCTACAAAACACTTTCACCTCAGTTGTTCCAATTGACTCTCAGACAGACAGCCTCCCTGAGCATGCTGAGAATCTAACATTTTGCTCAGCCTTTACTCAGAAATGAGACTGAAATGGAACTTGATTCTTCCACTGAGATGCATCTCCTCAATTCTAAGTACACCACTGAACAACACTTGACATAACAGAGGCTGAAGTCCCACCACAAGTGCACCTTGATCCAAGCTGTTAATTTACAACTGTGTTTGTGATTAGGAGGAAGTGTGGGGAAGAGTCGGCTTGGTTAAAAAGTAAACTTTCAGATGAGGTTTTACCAATTGTGAGCAGTTTCTTGACAAACTTCTGGTGCGTTTGCTTTCTCACTACGTTCTTACACAGATTATGGACTGCTGGAAAGGAGCCATATGCAGCAGTTGGATTTATCCCACGCTCATCATCTGTGTGAATGGGTTTTTCTCCACAATGAGACCTTCGGAGTCTTTTCTCACACCTTACCTAACTGGACCAGACAAAAACCTAACAGTTGAGCAGGTACGTAACTGTTCTCTAATGTAATAACTGAAGTGCCTAAAGCAGTAAGCCTTTGGTTATTGCTGTAAAGGAAGAAAAAGCATTCAGCAAAACACATATTTTATATAAAAATTCATGTTTAAGGTTGAGCTGGAGAAGGATAAGGGTTCTCCTCTTTTCAAGCCTCCTGGTATTTAAAACCACATTTGGATGTTGTTTGAATAAATGGATTCTTTCAGCAAAATCAGGTCAACCAGATCTCCTCTCCCAAGAGAAACCCAGGAGGAGCAACACAGATTTATTTATTCCTATTGTGGCACTAGTTAGATTAACAGTGAAGTAGTTTTGGAGAGAAAACAGAAAGGCTTCCACTGATAAGCTGTCAGATTATCACCTACAAGGTCGGCTCCGAAAGTAATGCCTCCTATTTTTATTATTAGGTTGGCCCACCACATCAGAAGCAGATGGTGGGAGTACAGAGGTTGAAGCTTCCCACCAATGTCCCTTTACATTCTGTTGCTACGTGACAGGTGGCAGCAGAGGGGCAATCTGAAAGAACAGTGTCTGACATGGAAGCATATATGAAGCAAAGGGGTGTCAATGAATCTCCATGTGGAATGAATTACACCCACTGACATTCACAGACACTTGCTGAACGTGTATGGAAGCCCAGCAGGGCACGCGAGCACAGCGAGGCGGTGCATTTCAAGCAGTGCCAACTGCAGCAGTAGGTCATTCCACTGGTGCAGATTTTTACAAGCGCAGCATGCAGGCTGAGTGCTCTTTGCTGACAAAAAAAAAGTACAGCAAATGGTGGTGACTGTGTGGAAAAACAGCATTTTGTAGCTGAGAACTTGCCCTATCAAATAGTGTTATTGTGCTGCCTGTATCTGTTGTAGTTTCCATGGTAATAAATACAAAGCAACACCTTCAGAGTGATCTACACGCATTACAAGACTGCATATTTGTCTATGCAAGGCAGATTCACATCTTAAGGTATTTTTAATTATTTTTTTCTATTTTTTTTTTTGTTGTTCTTTAAAGCATGCTTCTAGAGCACACTTTGTAACAGAAGAGGACACAGTTAACAAGTGAGTCATGAATTTAATGATATAATTAGAAAACACAAGCTTCATACACCCACATACTGCAAGTATGAAGAACAGTCATTCCTGACTTGCCCTTGCAAATGCTAAGGCAGAGTGTTAGCATAGCACAAAGACCAGATTTCCTCTGAAAAATGTATTTATGGCATTCTTCTTTTGTGGAGGGAAGAGTAACTTATTTGTTTGTTCTTTTGGGGAGGTATTATTATTATTTCTTCCTTCTAAACCATAAAGGGAAATTATCTGTGTATTTCATGTAAGAGAGATCCTGATAGGATTCGTTATTTCTGATCTCATCAACAATCTACTCAGAACTGACAGTACAGACTTAGCTCTTTCAGTTATTCCATGGATGTCCAACCTTTTGGCTTGCCTGGGCTGCACTGAATGAAGAGAAATTGTCTTAGGCTTCATATACATTAGTAGCTCCAAAAGCAAAGCCCCTTATTTATTTCCATGGAAACTACAACAGATACAGACAGCACAATAGCGCTGTTTGATAGAGCAAATTCTCATTTACAAAACACTGTTTTTCAATACAGTCACTACCGTTCACTGTACTTCTTTTTGTCAGCAAGGAGCAAGAGCCTACATGCTGTGCTTTTAAAAAATCTGCACCAGTGGAGATGACCCACTGCTGTTGTCACCACTGCTGTAATGCACCACCCACTGCCAGGCCTCCATACACATTCAGCGAGCGTCCATGAATGTCACTGGGTACCGTGGGTTCTACATGGAGGCATTCAGTGGCAACTCTCTGCTCTATGTCACACACTTCCACATCAGATGCCATTCTTTCAGACTGCCCCTCTGCCACCATTGTTGGGAAGGTTCAACCTCTGCTGCCATACCTCCAACATCCACCTCTGACATCATAGGTCAACATCATAACATAGCAGGCATTGATTACATGACAGTCCTCATGCAATATATAATGTTATTAATGTATGTAAAGTAACAAAATTAAGATAAATTTTCTACTTCTTTTTTTTAAATTACAATACTTAAAAAAAAGACGACCAAAAAAACCCATAAAATTACTGGAATTTTTGACCTCTTTGTGAAACTAAAGCATCAGTTTGGTTCAGTGGCACTGGCTGCATCTCTTAGTAAATTCTCCAAGTCTTCAGCAGAGATTTTTCTTTGGATGAAATTTGACTGTTCCTGTGCTTCATCCTTGAACACAGTTATTCACAAATGTATGCACTACCAATAAGAGATGACACAAATAAGGCATGACTCTGAAACGAGGGGTATCTCTCTCTGGTAAGACGGCTTATAAAGGCCTGGTAAAAAGACATGACCAAATTTTTGATTGTATCTCTATAGATTCCATTTGAGAATTCACAAACAACATTTATATTGACTGAAAAAGGAGTTGCAAATAGAAAGAAACTGATGTGTCGTTTTTTTTTTTTCCTACAATCTTGAAACTTCCTGTGAAATTCCTTCACTAAAATGTAAAGTATGGCTGCATATTTTTTGCTGTTCACAGAACGGTGTTTATCCTATGTACCAAAATGCATGAACTTACTTGCCATCATTTGAGCTGGCACTGCAGTGCCCCATGTCCTGGTTTCAGCCCAGACAGGGTTCACAGCACACTGCTGTTGGGGTGCTGCTGAGGGCCCAGGCTGCTCAGCAGGGCACAGCCACCACTGCGATGACAATTTATTTTCAGGCCATCAATGCATAGAACACCAACCAAAACTTAGTCAAACAGCTTCATCAAAAACTTATTTACTTTTTAAACAAAAAATAACACATGAATACAACCCAGTAACAGCTACATGTATACTACATACAACTCCAGTTCCTAGTTCAAAAGGAATGGGTTTTTTTGTTTGTTTGTTTGTTTGTTAAATTCAGAGGTGAGGAGAAGCGATCAGAGGTATATGATTCAAGCAAAACATAAAACTGAATGGGTATTAATTTTCAGCTACTTCAGGGAATTGAATTTGATGCAAGATAGATTTTGCTCTGACACAAGTATGGTTCTTCTAGGTTACCAACCAGGTTTTCCCAGTTTGGACATACTCCTACCTCGCGCTCCTTGTCCCCGTCTTCCTGATTACTGACTACGTGCGCTACAAGCCCATCCTCCTCCTCCAGGGCATCAGCTTCATTGTCACGTGGCTCCTGCTCCTCTTTGCACAGGGGCTGGTGGCCATGCAGGTGATGGAATTCTCCTACGGGATGGTGACAGCCACCGAGGTTGCCTACTACGCCTACATCTACAGCGTCGTCAGCGCTGATCGCTATCAGAGAGTGACGAGCTATTGCAGGAGTATCACTCTCGTTGCAGCCACCCTTGCTGCTGTGCTGGGACAGCTCCTGGTTTCCTTAGCAGACGTATCCTACTTCCACCTCAATGCCATTACTCTGGCCTCTGCGTCCTTGGCCTTTGTGTGCTCCTTTCTCCTCCCAATGCCTCAAAAGAGCATGTTCTTCCATAGGAAAGGCCCCTCAGAAACCCTCCCACAACCAGACAAAGCTGTGGCTGGGCTCAGTTCCAACACGTCATTGAGCTGCCAAGCGGACAAGGACTGCGCAGCTGCTGACACGGGAGCGACTCCAGCGCAGCAGGCTCAGCAGCCCGAGCCCCAGCACCACGTGCTGAGAGTACTGGTGCAGCTGGGCAAGGACCTGAAGGATTGCTACAGCTCTAGGAAGCTGCTTTACTGGTCCCTGTGGTGGGCTTTGGCTACGGCAGGCTTTAACCAAGTTGTGAACTACATCCAAGTGCTCTGGGACTTCCGAGCCCCATCTCACAGCTCTGCAGTGTACAATGGAGCTGTTGAAGCAGTGGCAACATTTTTAGGTAAGTAAAAACACTAGCAACTACTTCTAATCTGTCCAGTCCTGATGGCATCCTTCGGTAATGTCTTTGGCGCCTATTTCCTGTGAGGATCAAGGTCAAAGAACATAGTGTAAAAATTGAAGTATATTAACAGAAACTGCTCTAGGAAGTCTGTTTCAACAGCAGACTAAACATTTCAAGATGAGTGATCCTAGACAAACATTTTGTGACTGCATCCATATTCTGATCAATGAGTTCATCTCCAGCTGTGACACCCAGAGAGGGTGAGAGCTGTAATTGTTTAGCAGTAAGACACAGGATTTTATTAATTCACATAAATAGCTGAAGAGGGAACTAAAAAGAGTTGAGCCAGACTCTTTCCCACTGAGCCCAAAGCCTAAATAAGAATAAGTAAATATAATAAAGAATAAATAAGTAAGAATTCTAGAATTGACTGAACACTGAAGCAATTTGCCCAAAGCACTAGAGGAGCCTCTACCCATGTTCAAAACCTTGATGCCTCCTGAGCAGCTTGCTCAAATTGACCCTGCTCTGTGTAGGACAAGGCAACGTCCAGAGTTCTTCAGCCTCAGCTATTGTGATTCTCCTGCTACTACTTGATTCATCCAGACCACATTCCTCTTTACCTGTGCGCCTTGTGTTCTGTGGCTACTTCAAAGTGCAACTTCATTTAAATTGCTGAGCAGTACAATTGGAGCCTCATTTCCAAGCTCACATCTACACCATTACATCTCCATACCAACAGTCTTATCTCAGGTTTCTTCTACATGGAGCTGTCAGTATATTCATACTGAATTTTGCTGAAGCTACTCCAAACCTGCAAGACTACTGGTTTGAGCAGCATTCCCAAAGGATGCCTTTGCATCCTGTAGGACTTGATAGTAAATCAAAGTACAGAAATCATTTAACACTAACAGGAACCTCTGGTTATTGTAGTTATGAACCAAAAGGAGGAGACCTACTATGACTTTTTAATTATGCTAAGGAATGCATACTGTCAGCAAATAAGTCGATGAGTGTGCTGTCCTGCTTGAAGACATCTGGGCAGCCAGTAGTACCCTGTGGACTGTTAAGTCTCACAGCTGTATAACATGCCTAGATCAGACTTGGAGCTTAAGTATCCTATTGCACTCAAAATAAGGGGTTTTGATATACAGGATTATCAATAAAAGTTGACAACTAATGAGACTTTTTCAATAGAAAATGAAGCTACGCCTCAAAGTATGAAGGAATGCAACAGATTTCCCAATTCATGTAAAGATCTTCATGAAATGAAATCCACTATACAGATTTTAACAGAAAGTGCCTGGTGAGGCTGTCCTTACTCTCAGTTGTCAAAAATGGAACAATACACCATACACCGCTGCCTCCAGCCCTCATCATGAGGCACTTCCTCAGAGTACTTCAGCTTGAGACAGCTCTACAAGCTAGGAAAAAAACCCGACAACTCAGAAGACTTAGACAACACTTGTAGAAAACAGATACTCCATTATCAAAGCCCATTGTGGCCCTAAGAAAAGTCTCAAGAGATCTGAGCATGGTCCATTTGCACAGTTACGCCATAACTCTAGAAAGACAGTAAGATTTATTATTCTTTATGTTTAGGTTCAGCAACATCCATGGCAGTTGGATACATCAAAGTGAACTGGGATCTTTCTGGAGAACTGGCTTTGGGAATTTTCTCTGCAATGGATGCTGGTTCTCTGTTTCTCATGTTCTTTATTGACAACATCTGGGCATGTTATGCTGGTTACCTTGCATTTAAGGCATGCTACATGCTCCTTATAACAATAGCAACGTAAGTATAATGCACAACTGTTCAGTCAAGTTGATTTAAATCAGTAAAAATGTCATATTTTCACATTAATAAAGTAAATAAGTTTCCACTGAAATAGGATTTTTGAATAGGTAACGATAGGAGAACATTGTTTCCAGCTCACATGAAATCACGCTTAGAAGTACGACTCAATCATTACAACAGCTTATTCCAAATAAGTTCCTTCTGCTGCATTTAGCTGTCCACTGATTTACGTGCAAGTTGTCTTTAAACAAGCAGGTCCTCACTCAGCAAAAATATTCACTCAAAATAGGTAATTAGGATGCACAATAGTATGACAAATAGAGGGAGAAAGAAAAACTTCTGCCAAAATGAACGTTAAAAACTTGATGACTCCGTTGTACATGTGAAACAACTCCTAAATTTCCTCCCATAATCTGCAAGCATACAAGGCTCACCATAGCTCAATTAAACTGTACACTCATTTTCAGGTTCCAGATTGCTGTTAATCTTAGCATGGAGCGTTATGCTTTGATGTTTGGCTTCAACAACTTCATTGCACTGGTGATCCAGACAATTTTAACCATTGTTGTAGTGGATCCAAACGGTCTGGGACTGGGTATCAGCACCCAGGTAAGCCAAATCACTCACACTTCTCTCATTTTCCTGCACTCCTCAAAAAGAGGGTTCTAATAGAAGTTTGGACTCTTGGAAGATATTAGGTGATGGGTTAGCTTAGAGCAGTTACTCACTTCAGAGACAGTGAACTGGTAGTAGATGCTACTGCCTCCCTGTCCTCTACTCCCTTTAGTGTTGCATTTCTATCATAACTTTAAGAACATCTTCCTAGAGCAGAAAAAATAGAATACCACCTATTATTCAGTTTCCAGGCTTACTATTGACAAGATCATTATGAAAACACCCTAAGCAGAAGCAGGAACTAACCTGGAAAATACTTCATGGAGCTTTATTACTAGGATAATTTTTAGTTGAATGCACTTTCATATTACTTAAGTTCTGAAAATTCAGATTCTTTCTGCTCTACAAACTCAAGAGTTTACACACACATGCACGAGGTCCAAGTCCCTAGCATTCATCTTTTCAGAAAAGAACCAGAAAGTGCAGGGCAGTGGCCCTTCTCCATTATTGAGGGGGGGATGAGAAGTAACTAACATAGTATTCTCTTCCTCCTTCCTTTGTAACAGCAGACTCTACTGAATGAGGTCAAGCAGGTGGACTATCATCATTTCAAGATGAGATCATTCAAGAGCATGGGTGGCAGGAAGGGGAAGAAGGCAGCACAGGGTCTCCCCTTCAGTTATTATACAACAACAACAAAAAAAACTGTTCTTGATTTTCTTCATTTTTCTCCCCATTTCCCAGTTTCTCATTTACAGCAGCTACTTCACGTTCATAGCTGGAATTTTCCTGATCAGAAGCATATACACCATTATCTCCATGAAATGCACAAATACCAGCACGGCTGGTGAGCCCACTGGTCATTAAGGAATGCTGCAGGAAGATAAAAAGAATGGCTGCAAGCAACACTTCAGAAGACTGCATCATCTAAACAATTAACTAGGGGAAACTTAAAGCTCAACTAAACCTGTGCCTGTCACACAACCAACCAGACTTATGAGCCTCCAACATAAAGAGCTTCTTAAACAGGAAGACGCATTTTCCTGGTTTCCTTCACCAGTAAGTTCTAATACCAAAGTCCTCAATCTTCCGTTTCAACTCAAATTCAGTGATGCAGCCCTGATGTAAAAACTTGTATTTTTGTTTGCTGGATTTTCTCCCCCTGCTCTGCCCTCGTGAGGCCCACCTGGTGTACTGCAGAGAGACCCAGGGCCCCAGCACAAGATGTGGAGCTGCTAGAACAGGCCCAGAGGACGACCGTGGAGATGACCAGAGGGCTGGAGCACCTGTCCTACAAATAAAGCTTGGGCTTGGAGAAGAGAAGGCTCCAGGGAGATCTCATTGTACTTTTTCAGTAGTTAAATGGAACTTCAAAGCTGGAAGGGGACTGACTTTTTACATGTTCTGATAGCGATAGGACAATGGGAACAGCTTTCAACTATTGAGAGAGCAGAGATTTAGATTACACATTAGGAATAAATTATTTACTCAGAAGACAGCGAGGCACTGTCAGAGAAGAGATGGATGCCCCAGTCCTGGAAGTGCTCAAGGCCGGGCTGGATGGGGCTCTGGGCAGCCTGAGCTGGAGGGCAGCCAGCACACAGTACAGGGTTGGACCTCCATGATCTTTAAGGCTCCTTCCAACCTAAGCCATCCTGTGATTTTATGAACACAATAGGAGAACATTGCATACAGATGCCTGAATCTCTCAGTGGCAGAGCTTATAGAACATCACCAGAGAACTTTTACTTTTACTGAGTATTTTAATTAAATGCAGTTTACTCTCATTTACAAGGCATTCAAACATTCCTGGGGAGCCTAAAGAAGCAACTGTCCTACAGCAGCACACAGATCTGTAAGACAGGTTGCCACAAACTTTCTGGACACTTGCACTTTTTCAACTGGAAGTTCTGACATGAATTTTTAAAGCAAGTTAATACAAACAATAATTAACCTTCCCTCACTCCACTTCAGCCCACAAAGATGCTACAACTGCATGTTCAACAGTGGATTAGTACATTCTCACATATGACCAAACACATTCACTTCAGGTTCCACACAGATAGTGAATTCCTTCTATATCTGAAGTTGTGTGACATCAAGAAAAATGCCATTTTGTTCAGGAAATGTTCCAGATGCAGTGACAGCAGGACTGTGAATCTGTTGAAGATGTCTCGTACTCATACCCTGGCTTTCCCTTTTAAAGGTCTGTCTTGATAAAGAGGTCTTAGCTTAAACAGTCAGCATACACCTTCATTATGTACAGCTAATGGAGGTTTTCAGACATACTTATCTTTGGAAGCAAAAAATCTCCTAAGCTAACTTTGTATTTTTAAGCAAGCCATTGGCAGATACTTCAATTCCTATACAAGGCAGTCTTACTTAAATAAAAACACTTAAAAGTTTAGATATAAAGACAGCTTATCAGTGACTTCTTTCAACTACATTCAGTAAAGGGGCACTTTGGAGTAATTTCTATCAGATAGCAGCAGTTTTCATTATGTTCCACTGCCACAAACTACCACAAGTACAGATTAGTTAAGAGCAAGAAGTAATTGATATTTCCCCCTATTCAGCTCACAAGGAAACCATAACAATTCATTCCTCTAAAAACACACTTTTTAAAAACAGCTCGAGCTTCCCTTTATGACCCAGGAAGTTCTCCTTTCAGAGACAAGCACTTGTTCAAAGCTTAGTTACATCCACTTAGATGAATCAATTTGGATGAAGGAAGTACAAGATTGTTTGATTGATTCGGTTCATTTCTCATCAGTAAGTAACTCTAAGCATTCCACAAATCCTTCTAAGTCCTTGCAGATGCCCACTCTTTACTGCATGTGTTATTATTCCAATACAGACGTCAACAATAGAGAAGTCTAGTTATTATGCTAAACAGCAGTGAAGCATTGCTAGCACCATGAAAACCCTCAACTGTTGGGAACTTGTTTAATGAATTCACCCAAAGAGAATTAATCCATGCACCATACTCCATCCATCAGCCCTTGTCAGAAGAAAAAGGAAGACTCCAAGTCTTTTAATATCAAACACATCAACAGGCCAGAAGAGACCTTTAAGCAAAGAATACTACCTATAAACTTCTTATATCCATTGTCCTTTGGGATCTCTAAAACTTAAAAAAATAAAATAAAATAAAATAACATGGAAATTACCATTCCCCACACATAGGCAGCACTAGTCAGAAGCACTGGCATATGAAGAGCATTTCCACAGGCAGTGATCATGTCTGCCCGTTCCCCAAGGGACAAGCACATCCCTACTCAAGCGGATGACTACAAAAAGTTTCTTACCTTGAGGAATTCTCCCATTTATTTCAATCAACTCACACACTACTTTTCTCAAAAAATCTCTAATAATTTGATCTCATTTATTCCTGTTATTCTGAAAGTTAGAACTTTATTCTTAAGCTGGCCAGAAACCCTCCTTTAAGCTTGAGGTCTGGGTACTCACAGCAAGTGCACAGTAATTGTTTAATTTCAGTGTTACATTTGAACATAAGCCCAGTTATCAGTGTTCAAATTCCACCACTGATTACTTTGATGCACTGGCATTCTTCTTGCAACTTCTCTACCAGAGATTAGACATTTCTTCCTCTACAAATGCTATTCTAAGACGGCAGAAAACATCCCAGAAAATTAAGAAATCCAATCAGTTAACTCAGTGTTCCACAGGAAGTCCTACTAATACACACAAGTTTTAATAAAAAGAGAACGACTCAATCTGTGGTACCAAGGTCATACGTACTGCTGCGGTCACAACTAAGTCATGTTCAAAGACTCCACCAGCTGTCAGCAGTTATGTCTTTCAGCAACTAACCATTTTTCAAGTCACTACTCATCTCAGTGCTCTCAGTGTCCTTCATTATATAGCTATTATCAGAGTTATATAAGAGTTCATGTAAACTCATTCCTGATAGATAAGCCACTTCACTTGAACAGCAGGCTAAATCATGAGGACATATTCAAGACTGTAGGATATGAAAATTGAACTTAAATTACTTCCGAGCATATCATTTCTGATAGATCATTTGTGTATGAGATTCACAATACAAACATTCTAACCCAAATAAGTGTCACTGCACAGAAATAAAGCTACACTTCTTTTTTCTAATATTTATTTTTTTTTTTTTCCACCTGCAAACTGTAGCAAAACATGATCAGCTTTATTATGCAGACAGGTATCCCTCTAACATTAGAGATTTAGGCATGTATAAATAGAAGAGCTCTTAGGAAAGGAAAACATTTTGAGAAATGAACAAACCTTCAATTTAATTTGATGACTTCCAATACCAATGGTTAAAATGATGTAGCTCATTCATTCCAAGAGATACAACAGCACCTTAAAGTGGCTGATCTATTTCCCAGTAACATTTTTCACATAACAATGTGTTAAAGTTACAAATACTGATATGCACAAATAGCTATTTTCTAAGAAAAATATGTACAGTACTGCAGCATAATGAATGTGGTATCTGCAATAACTTATTAGCCAATTTTAATATACATGATACCGCTACTTTTTTCCTGCCAGTTCACAGGTCCAAGGATGTTACCACAGCCCTCTGTTTTGCACATTATTACCCGGGGAGGTGGGAGGGAGGGGGTTGATTTTCTTTGTTTGTGTGTGTGTGAGGGGAGGGGAATGACTCCCTGTTGGGTTTCTTGTGTTCTTTTCCCCCCCCCCAAAGGTACACAATGCAGGCTTTCTTTTTAACTTCTTAAAGACTTCTTTTGTGTTTAAAGCTAATATCAGTGAAACAAGACAACAGTGCAAGAGGCGCAGAGATGTTATGTGACCACATAAGAGTTCTTTTGGGTAAAGTGTCTATAAGGCTATAAGAAAGGATTGGTTGATGAGTTTCCTGCTGGAAATTGTCCTGTTGGGGCACCAGCCTGAGGGAAACAGAAAGAATAAAATAAGACATTTTTCTAAATCACAAATCATAAATACAAAGATATATGAAACAGAGAACAAATTATCAAGAAATATTTCTGGTTTGTGTTGCAGGGTTTTGGTTTATTGTTTTCTTTTCTTTTTGGTGTGTGTTTTATCTAAATATACATTATTGTAGGACTATAGTGTATAGATACTTCTATTTTGATTTGAGCAGCCTTATAAATGCCACAGCATTGTTATATAGAATTGCATTTAAGAGATTCATGTTGCCTTCCCTTATTTGAAGCAAAAAAATCATGCACCTATAATTATTACATATTGTGCCTTTTCAGACATGCACAAGTTATTAATATGCAACAACTTACCATAAAAGGGTTACTAGATACTCCAACAGCTGCAACTTGTCCAAAAGGAGTTACTACAGGCTTTGCCTGTCCAAACGCAGCAAAACCTGCACCTTTAAAAGATAACAAAATATTACTACCAGTTATCAATCCTCAATTAAGTTTCAGTTTGAAAGCTTACAGCAAAAAACAAAGGGAAAGCTTGGACTGCACCAGTCAGCAGGATTTTATCTTACCTAAGTAGAGTAGTTTTAAGAAATTTTAAATAGTAAGTTTTCACTTAGTAGCTCAATCTATTTAGTCTCCTCACATACACAATTTCATTTCAGCTCTTAAAAAACCATCTATTAGCAAGATCAGTTCCCAATTTAAACATGCAACAGTCTCTCTCTTCCTAATTTCTTCTCTAGCCAAGTAACATGAATGTAGAAATTCAAAGACTAGAATTTTCAAATTCAATAAGAGCTTTGGGCACTGCAGCTGAAAAGCAACAAAACTTAGTATGAAAACTTGAACAAGTTTGGCTCACAGCTTGCTTCTGTTTACCACTTCAGAACACAGCTATTAAGATCTCAGCACCCTTAGCTGAGGGCTACTTCTACACACTTCAGCTGTATTATCACGTGAGCATCCTTAATCTGCCTCAGTGTGCTGTCACACAGATAACACAAATTAGATGAAGTGATCCATATTAACTGCCCTCCTACAAAACTTAGTGTAGTAACAGCAATGTAAATCGTATGCTTGCCTGCAGCGGTTTTCACTCAGGTGGACAAGAAGCCTAAATTACATCTGCTTATGTTTTCTCCATAAGTTCGCTTCAGTGAATTACTGCTTTTCTATTTACACTGCCATTAACAGTGCACTCTGAGATGATATTTATGAAGTACTCATACTATCAGTATTAGTTACTGCATCCTTAGATGCTAATGCTCAGGAGCACTGTGCAGAGAGCACCAGAGAGCTGGTTTTTAAAAGCTTAAACAATACACATCAGCATCAAAAAGCTAAGTTTTTTAACAAGAGAAAACTTGCAAAAGCATAAAAATTATAGCTGAGTTTTTTGCTCAGTTTCAACTGTACAGAACTACTGAATTCCTGATTTTTACATACAAGCTTTTTCCAAAGTTGCTTTATCATTTAGATTTTGGGAAAAAGCACTCTGATTTTGTCTTGCCTGTGCTCTTCAAGTTACAGAAAATATTACAACATGTTGCAGGCACACTTAAATAAAGATCAAACAATCCTTGCATTTAGAACTGTTACATCTCTGAATATTTTAGTTTTATATCAATTATGGTAAAGTTTCAGTTACATCACTGCACACAGTCAAGCCTGAATGCTAACTACAGAGCCACAGTGCTGTGTGAGGGAACCCCTTGCTAATTTAACTACAACGTTTATGTAGAAATAAATATGCACTCATTATCATTGACTTAGATTAAAGGTAACTTCTTTAAAACAGAAACATGGAAGAAAGTGATCGAGAGTGTATAGACGTACCATTTGGCTGCTGAGCAAAAGCAGTCTGTTGGGGGAAAGCTGCTTGGGTTGGGAATGTAGGCTGCTGGAAGTTGCCACTAAAACTAGTAGGAAGACTGTAGGAGGCAGGAGTTCCAAATCCTGCAGGCATGCTCATGGATGCAGTACCAAATGTTGCTGCTGGCAGGCAAAAAATAACATGGAGTTATTTGTAAGAAATCACTTTTCCCGTAAGACGTTACTGTAATGCCATGTTAAGAGCCTCCAAATGACTCCATGGTCATAAAAAAGTTCTGTTTAAACCCTGCATCCACTGATTTGTTACCTTGGATCACCACAAATTTACTTTTGCACTTCAAAATTAAATGAAATCATTTAACATTTGCTAGATCCAGTACAGATAGGCTTTCTGAAAAACAGATTGTTTTCCATACTTTCTACACTAAACACTTAGCCCTGAGGTTTTACTGGAAAAAGTCAGCACGCATTAGAAGCAAGCACTTCCAGGCAGCACAAGCCCTTCTTTTTTCTCTACCAAGGAAAGCACAGCAATATCTTCCTACTTCAAGCCGCGTTACAGTAAGTAAAAAAAAGAAACAAAAACAAATACTCAAGGGATACATGCATCCCATATCTCCATCCCATCTTTAGTGTCACTTTAAGGGAAATTCTCACCATGCACATTACTTTGCACACAAAGTTCCTAGTGCAAACACTCTCACTGTTGAAGTAAGACTTGAAACAAACAAAAAAAACAAATCTTTTCATCTGATTCTCTGCTGAAACATCTCAAGTAAAGAACATAACAGCACATATACAATTCTACATGCCTTCAACAAAAACAGGAGCACATCAAGTGCAAAAATATAGTAACAAAACCATTATTCAGTCTTTTGGGAGATAACCTTTTGGTACAAATAGAGTCATCAAGTATTTTCTTCTAATTCAACAATAGACAAGACTACTCTTTCAAACTGATAAATATTAAATTTGGGGGCTTGTATAAGATCTATGTAAAAAAAAAAAATCAGGATATTTGATCAATTTAGCGTAATTACTGGTTCAAAAATTCACCCCAAAAGTATTCAAGGGCAAGACATTATATACACAAACTACAGGAAAAGTGCACACAGAACTAATGTACTGACATTGTCATAAAGCAAAAATCAAAGAAACTATTCATCAGGAAAAGCTGATAGAACAAACAAAATCACAACGAATTGAGCAGCAACTTGGGATACTACAAAAGGTATCAAACTACTGTTAAAACAAGCGACAGGAGTCACTCAAATGGTCATTGTAGTGTGACTGTGGAGGATATCAATAATGGTTTTGTTTTAGTTGCTTTATAGATTTCCGTGCTCTTCTCTCCTTTTGTTGAGTTGCCAAATACCCACACCCACTCCATTATAAAACATGTAAGGCTAATGAAATTCTACGCGCAGAGAACCAGATAGCTGCCAATAAGGTTTTACAAGCAAGAACAACTAGCCACAAGAAACTTCATACCAAATGTGGCCACCTACCAAAATGAGCGTGAGGAAATATGTGAGAGTGCATTGCTCCCGAGAGGCCTTATGGAAGCCACAAAGAGACCAGACAATGTCAAATCATTTATACACACTACTGAACAGTAATTCTTAGATGACTACTAATATATATTTATATACATACATACACACAGCAAACAATTCAACCGTAGCATGACCTGTGTTAGATTAAGTCATGAGAAATAAATGCTACAGATCAGATAGCCCTTGCAATAAATAGTTCATGCAGAAAACATTCAACTTAAAAGGACAAGCCACAAGTTTACATCTTATATTGAAAGGGGTATGATATTATCATTACTTATAGTCACCAGTTCTTATTTAGTACATTCTACATCACTACTGCTGAAAAGGTGCTGGAACCTCTGCAAGTCAAGGAAGGCTGTTTAGAAGGCAGAATGATAGAGTTGCCATATTTAAAAGACGATGTAAAGCAGATTAATCTAGTTGTCTTTCATAATGTGCCATTGGGTGGAAAGTCCAAGTTATCTCCTTCCTACTGAGAGAGTGCTGCATCTAAAGGCTGCAAAGCTCTTAAATAAGATCCAAGAGAGCAAAGATTTCGTTCATTAAATAGCTGAGCAAGTTAAACTGAATTGTATCTCAAAAGTGACTTAAAAACATTTTAGCAGAGGACATGAACACAATCAATTCAGCTTTAAGTCAGCCTGAGCAATGTAATTCAGCCTACTTAGAACTTTGATAAAGCACAATTCAATGTTAAAATATATACACATCAGCAGACTTAAGTCTATGCAAGTCCAATTAGTACAGAAAAGCACTGAAGTTCAACAGTGCCTTTAGAGTGGAAAATTAGCACAGTATGACATCCACTTAAATCCATGACTGATGCTCTGTAGATTAATGGAAGATTTTTGTTACTGATTTTTTTTGTTATTTTAAAAATGAGTAAGTTTCTTATCTATGGAATTACGATCCTACAGAGTCCTCCTCCAGAAAATTAATGTAAATTTTGAGTACTGTACATTTATTGTCACAAAAGGGGAAAAAAAGGCTATCAATTCACCTACTTCCATCTGTGTGTTCATTTCAATCAATTTCTGATTCTCCCACATTTAAATGGTTTTCTCTGCTTCTCAAAATTAAGTTTTATTCTAAATACAGTTGAATATCAGCATACAGGCTCTGCATGCCTTATGTAAATTTCAGTTAAAGCAGAGTGAGACTTTCCATTTTGTTACAAAGCTGACGAGTTTAAGACTTTTGTGAAATGTATTCCAGAATATCAGTGCCTTGTTTTTAAATCTACCCCAAAAACAATGAGTAATAGCAGCAAAATATTAAATTCAGAAAGATACTGGATCAGAACATAGTTAATGGGGAAAAAAAATGAAGTTATTTCAAAGCTTCAGTTTCTCTGCTGTAGTGTATTTGTCAAAATCTAGGCACATTCTTAGATATGCCACCTCTTTTACCTCCACTTTATCCATTTAACGTCCTGTAGGTGTAACAGGTGTAGATTAATGAGTATAGAATAAACGAACGTGTGAAAAACTAACAGCCAAAAGCTTCATAGAATGGTTTGGGCTGGAGGGGACCTTTAAGACCATCTTGCTCCAAACCCCCTGGTATAGGCAGCGACCCAGGCTGCTCAAAGCCCTATCCAACCTGGCACTGAATGCCCCCAGGGAGGGGGCATCCACCATCTTCCTGTGCAACCCACATCAGTGTCTCTCAGCACCCTCACATTAAAGAACTTCTTCCTAATACCATAGATTTCTTCCTTCATCTGGTTTTAACTCTGGAGACCTTGGATTTGAGACCTTCCAGGGCTTGGAAATAAAGAAAAGTGGAGAGTGTGCAGAAAATCAAGCATACCAGCTTGGCAGCAGGGTTTTCAAGATCCCAGATTTTAGGGCAAGATGTTGCGAAGCAACTTCAAAGCTAAGATACTAGTCATGGATAGTACTCAACTGGTAATACACAAACTACAATATAGTACAAGTAGTATTAAATATCTTATGAAGATCACTTTGACATTTTGTGGTTAGAGTCCAAAGTTGCAGAACTGGGCCAGAAACTAGAAGCTAATACCCTCAGCTCTTCCCTTCCCCCACCCTCCCTCCCAAAAAAACCTATCTAACAAAACAGCAAAACAAAAGAAAGCAACTCGACATCAAACACATTAGACTTGAAAACAAGTAGAATAGAAAAATCTTTAAGAAAAATTCACAATTACAAAAAAAAGATTCAAAAGAGGTATTGCAAAAATTTCAAATCTTGAGTTCTGTGATTTTTTTCCTAACCTGTTGCTCCTCGGCTATTGGTCTGGAATGGATTTGTTGAAGGTGCCACTGGGGCAACAGGGGCAGCTACGAATGGATTTGTGGAAGGTGTTGCTGAAAGATTAAAAAACAGTATTCAATAAAGTCTTTTAAGAAATAGTCTGACTCACTAATGTGAGTCTTATAATATTTTTAATCAATAAAATCGCATGAAATCAGTAATTGATAATAAAACAATTTGAAATGCATCACATGCAAAGATCACAGTACTTCTTCGTTGTCCTTTAATAACTTCAAAATCAAAAGTGTCACAGTATGGAATTAATAACTGAAAGTGAGGTACTAGTCTACCATGCAGAGTTGTTATATACCTCCAAATGGAGCAGGCACACTTGAAGATGCAGGCTGTGTCTGTGAAGTAGCAGCCACGGGTACTGTTCCAAAAGCATTGCTGAAAATAATTCATACATTCAGAAAAGTCAGAACTGCTTGTTTAACCATTAAATGCAACTTTACATGCCGACAACGAATGTAAAAAAATAGAAAAGGAATGCTTACACACAGTTTGCTAACTGCAATACAGAACTGCAATACAAATGCCAGGAATTGAGGCCCTGAGTCAGAGACTATAACTAGTGCATGAGTCAGAGACTGTAACTACTGCTGAGCAATAAAAAAAAGTCTTCTCCACCAACAGCAAGAGAATGAATATTGAATAGAGGCTATCAGGATAAGGTTACAAAACAAAAGCTGTAAGGGGTGCTTCTAATATCAAGAATAACTGTAAAAGGCATTTGGTATTTATTACTTCAGCGATCCAAAAAGAAGTGATTAGTTCTATTTGTATGAAAAATAAGAGCAATTTTTGCCAGGGATGATGCTATGGTTTTTGGTATGCAAATACTCTGTACATAAATGTGTTACCACCTCAGAGGTGTAATACTCTACCGTACAGTACTGTTATTATCTAAAATAAAGGAAGAATTTTCAACATTGACTCTAAACACAAACATTTCTTCACCTATAAAAATAAAACCAGTTGTTTAAGAAACAATTCTGAGCTGCTTTTCTGCATTTTGCTGAAGCCAATAAAAAGTCAATTACATCAAATAAGAAGTACCTGCTGACGTTACTGGTGGAAGTATACGCATTACTGGAGGTTGCGGTGGAGCTGAACACACTGTCTAATTCTGCTAAAGCTGCATACTTGTCTGACGACGCACTTGACTGATTTGGGGCTGACAAAACAGGACCTGCTGATGCAGACACTACTGTACTAAAGCCACTTCCTTGCTCACTACCACCTAGAAAGAGAAAAAACAGATTTAAAATGAAGATGATGATTTTACATTCCAGCCTACTAATGTTAAGCACTGATGTATAAACTTCAAACTTAAAAAATTATATATGAACTAGGGCATAGTGTTATGCTTCTACAGATATTCTGCAGCTCTGCAGTCTTCAGTTTCCCTAAAAAATAAGGGCTCAATACTACTGTCTTCTTCAACTAGATAAACTCAGCAAAAAAAAAAAAACCACCTTCAAGTAGCATTTCAGAACAAAACTCCACATCATAGACCAATAAATGTTTTCATATACTATTTGCAAAAAAGAATTACAGAATAACTACAAGGGCTGCTCCAAAACTAATGTCTCCTGCTTTATTATGTTGCCCCACAAAGTCAGAGGCAGATGTTGGTGGTATGGCAATAGGGTTTGAACCTTCCCACCAATATGCCATTGCATTTTGTTGCTGTGCAACAGATAGCAGCAGAGGGGCAGTGTGACAAAATAGCATCTGACACAGACATGCATATGAAGCAAAGGTGTGTCATTGAATTCCTCCATGTGGAAAAATGGCACCTGCTGACATTCATGGACACTTACTGAACATTTATGGAGACAAAACAGTGGATGTGAGCACAGTAACAGTAGGTGGTGCACTTAACAGTGGGTCACCCCTGCTGGCACAGATTTTCGCCCCTCCCCCCATACCAACAAGCACAGCATACAGGCTCCTGTTCATCACCGACTAAAACACATAGTTCATGGTGGTGACTAAGTTGAAAAAAAAGCATTTGGTAGCTGAGAATTTGCTCTGGTCAAAGTGTTATTGAGCTGCTTGCACCTGTTTTTGTTTCCACAAAAACAAACAGGAGGTGTTACTTTAGGAGGGACCTAAAGTTTTTTCTCCTTAAAACTAAGCAAGCTTAAGTTTTCACTTCCTAGATACACATTTACAAGCAGTGATAAAGCTGCAGTTTCTCAGCTAACTTCTACAGAAACAATGGACTCAAATGACTATTCTACGGCATCACATAAGTATTCCACAAGATGCCACCAGGCTTGAAGAACGACAATAAAGGAAAACAAATGGCACAAAACCAGAAATAACAATAAAGTATCATCTTTCTGCAGATCAAGAGAATCAATGAACTCTTAAGAGAAGATTTCAGAAGATAAGTAGGATGTGACACCTTAGCATCTCTTAGTGAAGGGCCGAGCTTAAATTTACTTATCTTCATGTCCAGTGGAGTTCTGATATTAAAAGAGAACATTTCTTTGCAACCTTTATACTTTTATTCTTTATATGCTTTATCTGTGGTCATTCAAAAAGGTTGCTAAGCCAAGGAGACAGGACAACTTGACTGAATGTAGTCTTACTGTAGACTGGTACTGAATACATAATGAAGCTGAATTTTGCATCCTTGCTTAAAAATGATTTAAACTCTAGCTTTGCCAGAGCTGTGTTAACTGACAATGAACTTCAATTAAAACCAAGCAGAAACTTTGATGTGTCTATACATTGATGGAAAAAAAATCCACAGATACTGTGGATGTGTGCAACTTCAGTGCTTCAGCAGTATCAGAATAAAACTGAGCTTGAATTTCACTAGCATTTGGAAATCTGCTTTTAAGACAGCATTTCTTTAGTACACAAGGAAACCCCACAAGTTATTTTTAAGAATGAGTTCGTAAAAAATTAGAGCAAAATCAAAGAGACAGGAAAGCTACCCTGGCACTCCTGTGCAAAAACTGCATTTCTTCATTTGAGTCTCTTCACCACAGATTTTAGCACATAACATTTTTATATGTTTATATGAAGGATTTTTTTTCCAGTATAATGTGCCTTGAATATAAACACATATATACACACACGTGTGTGTGTGTATGTATGTATGTATCATTGCATGATCCATCATTTAAATATTTAAACTTAGAGTTATTCAACTTGATAACAAGTAGGTTCTCAAGCAGCAGTCTTTAGAAGATATCCTGGAGCAATGCCTTAAAGTCTTGTTCTTATACCATACATATTAAGGATGCACTGAAGAAAAACTGATAGCTTAAAGTTATTAATTTGACAGACACACCATCCTTATGGGAAGTATAAAGTTTCAGTATAAGCATGTCAAAGAACAAAACTTATTACCTTGCCCTGCGCTGAAGATATTATCTAGATTAGCCAAAGCTGCATATTTGTCTGCTGACTGGAGACCTGGTTTATTCACTGCAGCTTTACTGGCTCCAGTTACTGTTGCATTGCTCTGAGAAGCATTGAAGGCTCCAAAATCAGCACTGGAGGATTTAGGGAAGTTATCAAAGTGAGCAAAGTTAGCATTCACTGATCCAGCACTTCCACCTGTAACAAAATAAGTTAAACATGATCGATGCTTTCTTCAGCTTTGAAGTGTTCCTAAATTCTCTGCGGTTATCTGATGCAACATGTTCCCACTACCCCATCCCACAGGTGAGACCCTTCATTCCTCTCCTTTAAGTTTACACTAGGTAAAAAAAAAAACAAAAACAGAATAACAGAAAAACACCAACTTCTATGGTTTTTTTTAGTCTGTAGCTCAGGGACAGAAAATTTTAAGTCACAACTATGTGCTGCTCATTAGCTGTTAAAGTAATTTCAGCAACAATATCTCACTAATGAAATACATATTCGTATGAATCCTTAATATTCAAAACAGAGAAGCTTCATTTTCTGTCATGTGTGTCTAATGGATAACTATAACTGGATTTTACTTAATGGTATGATGTATTTGATCATTTTAGATGCCAGCCACCATTCTAGGCAAAAACCCAGTAGCCTAGAAGCCAAGAGAAGAATGATTCAATGCCAATGTTTAAAGAGAATTGTGGTTTTTTTATTCTCATATTTTCAGACTACATTCAATCAAGAAAGAGTTTGGGGCAGAGAGTATATAAACCAGTTTCCTTTAAATCTAGTTCCCACAGAGATACCAAGAGATACACAAATCAATTTGAAAAAAATCTGGTTTAGGTCCACACAGTTGAATGTGTTTCAATATGAAACCGTGAGCTTCTATCTCTTCACTTTCCAGACTATTTTATCAATACAGGCAGGTCATATACTTAAAAGAAATGTTCCATTAAGAGTATCACATTTTTTTTAACAATTGCTTGAGGATTTCACTCATACCACAACAACAAAGCTTTCTAATAGTTTAATCAGTTAGGTTAAAACATATGCAACAGTAGAAATGATGATACTAAACTACAATGGCATAAAATGAAGCAAGCCGAGTTCTCCACTGTGTGGAACTTACTGTGCACAGCCTGGAGAGGAAAAGCTGAAGTAAATTCACCAAAACTGCAGCTAGATGAAAGCGTTCTGAACGCTGGACAGCCAGAAATTGTGTGTGGGTTAAAGTTAACATAAGGAGGGAGAAAGAAAATTTGAAAAAAAGTTTAAAACGACACCACACTCAAAAGAAAAAAAAAGAAAAGAAAGTCAGTCAGCCAAAGATCTAGACAAACAGCAAGTGTAAGCTCAAGCAAAAGTTTTAAAGCATGATCAAACTAAAGAAAAGTAAAAAATAAATCTTAGCAACTGGCTCTACACCTGAAGCCAAACACACTAAAATGTGTGCAAGTTACACATTGACGTAGGCATACTTATTTCTGCAATGTGCTCTTCGGTCTGAAGCTCTTCATTTGCAAGATAAACAATCAGTTCATGATCAAAAATAGTACTCTTTACTCAGTCATTTCAGGTGTAGAGCTAACAAACATATAGTGCCATAAAGATCAGACTTCTTAGCAGTGTTGGAAAAAAAAAAAAGAAAATCAACAGCAAACAGAAAGAATTAATTTTGAGTTTCCCCAGAGCTTCAGATGCATTCTGACTGCATTCAAGGTGGCAGGTGCAAGAAAAACTCAGCATAAGTATCTTCAAACAAAAAGGTAAGGGATTATTTCAATTAAGTATTGATCAAAAGTGCTAGGAGTTCTACCTGTATTTTGGGGCTGAAAAGAAGACTGACTTGCTGTGGGGAAACCTCCAAAATTACTCGAGCCACTAGACTGTCCAAATGCATCAAAGTTTGCAAAACCTGCATTTGCAGAGTTCTGCGCTGTAAATTGCAAAGGAACAAAACATGTTAATGGATATGGGAAACAAACACGAAAAACAGATGTATTAACTGAATTTATGGTCATGACAGCCACCAAGAGTCGTGTCCCATCTCCTAACTGATTTCACACCAGAAAAGTTATACATTACAATCTACAAATAGAAAGTTTTAGAACAAGCTTTCATGAATTATTTTCATAGACCTATGCCTCCTCCTCACTGATGCTACTACTAAACTGCATGAGCTGATCAACTCAGAATGTTTGCAATTTTGATTGATCAGGGAGAAACAACGGAAAGTAAAGATGTTTACCTCTCAAACCCAAATGTTAGCTTTCAAAACAGAATGTGTGGACTAACTGAACACTTCTTTGCAAATAAAAAAGCATTCTTGAAACATACTGCCAATTTGAATTCCTACAATACAATGTGCTTCTTTCCTGAGACCCTATGTCCTGGCTTCAGCTGGGAATAGTTGTTTTTCTTCATAATGCTTGTGTGATGCAGTGTTTTGGCTTTAGGAAAAAAACAAAATTGATAACACTGATGTTTTAGTTGTTACTGAGCAGTGCTGCACAGAACCAAGGACATTTCAGTTTTCCACCTTCTTGTACTTCCTCACCACTGGGGGCCTGGAGAGAGCTGAGAGGAGATAGAACTAGGACATCTGGCCTAAACTGACTAAAAGGATATTCCATATCATCTGGCATCATGTGAAAAACATACAGAACTGAGGGCAGTTAGCCAGAGAGGCAGCCACTGCTAAGGGACTGGCTGGGCAACGGTTGGCAGGTAGTGAACAATGGTGTCTATGCATCAGTAAGATAGCATTCATGGACTGCAACAACAAAATAACATCCAAAGAAATTTCAAATAGAATCTGTCTGCCCCTCCCTTTTTGTAGAATACTATAAAAGGAAATAAAAGGAAAAAATATCCGTTTAATTTCAAATAGCTGAACATTCAAACATCAGTATACTCAAAAGGAACTAGGAGCCTAATTCCTGAACTCCATGTAAAGTCTTACACATACAAAACAGAAATCTCTGAATTCTACTCTTTCTTCTTAAAATGAGTAGCTTCAAGAGGGATAAATTAAGAACTGCAACGTGCTCAAAAATGAAAGTGATGTTTTAAATATTGATGCATCAATTGTATGACTACTCAGACAGACGTTCAATTGACCAAATAGGATTCAATACGCAAGCATCACTCCTACAATTAGGACATTTCTCATTTTAACCTGCCACATGGATAAATATCTTCAATACCTCATGAGTGTAGACTGAAGAACTACAACGTATTATATTACAGACCACTGAACTGTACTGGATCAACTGACAGAGTGCAACTTGCAAGCAGGTCCAGTAGAGTTTTAACGACTCCTGCAGAACATTCTGATGTTGATCTTGCTCTATTTCATGTGGTAATGTTTAAATCTGTGCTGAAGTGGCACAAAGGTAAAGACTGGGTAAGACTTGGAATTTCCTGTACCGGAATAATTTGTAAATCATGTTTTTAAGTTTTCAAACTGACCATCCATCCTAAGCACTCCACCCAAAAGCTCTCCACCCAGAACAATACTGTTCAGGAACATGAGCAGACTGTAAGTCAGCACAGACTCACAACTGCCAATGTGATTATAAATCAATAAAACAGTACAAAAAACTTGCTGGCTACACCTATCTCCAATTTGACATGAAAATACAAGCTACACCCACAGTTCAGATTCTTCGTGATGTTTGCACTACCCAGTATGGAATAAAAGGCAGGAAGTACTCAAAAAAATCCTAGTGTAAAGGAAACAATTACAAAATTGAAAAACAGTTCTCAAGAAAGCAGTAACTGTGTCGTTCTTTTTTCTAAATAAAGTCTCCTCTGTTGTTAGCGACAGTTATCCTGTGCCAAACCTACTTAAAATCACTTGTGCAGACAACACTCTAATCTATTAGTTTGTAGGCCAAAATGTTGAATCCTTTTTTGACACTCTTACCGGTATGAAGCTACAAAGAACAGTTATTATAAAGAGATGGCTACCATCACCTTTTCAAAAACTCATCGTTTTGCAGAAACTATGGGACTTAAATACAGGAAATTCACATAAAGTCAGCACGTTTCCTCTCTGTCAGAAACCATATCCTGAGCCACATACATTAGAATAATTTGGGAAAAAGAGGGCCATACCAGAAGTGACACTTTCTGTACTACCTTTAAGCTTCACATTAGGCTTCACAAATCACAGCACAGTTCTTTACCATTTTCCTGTCAGCTGCTACACTTAGTTATGCTTCAATTGCAAAACCAGTAAATTACATTATTACTCAGATTTTGTGTTCCGAAAATTATTTACTTGAATCTGTTTGGGATTTTAAAACTTTCTGTAGGAGTCATGGGAAAGATCACAATGTAATAACTGAAACAGAAAATTAGTCATGACACCTGGACATTACTCAGAATTTTGATTTTTCAGCACACACTTTGACAAGAAATTAACCCAATCTTAATGCTATATTTATTCTAGAGCATTTATACTGCTCTTTCACCCATTCAAAAATGGACTAGAAGAGATACAGCAGTTTTACCTAGATTTGGAACACTGTACTGAAATATACCTAACACATGTGGCTTCTAGAATGTGGAAGTCCTGTTCAAGGTATACATCAATACAGATTAATTCAGTGCAAATTTGAGAGGAGTTAAGTGTCAACAGTAGAAATGTACAATATTGACCAGTCAGCATAAGTTTTCCCCACTTAAATACACCTTCAAAACAGTGATTCACATGAAATCTTATGGTAAGGATTTCACAAAACACACTGCAACAGAATTTCCTGCTCTTTATTACTGAATTCAACTAATTACGTATCATTTTTTGAAAGTTAATTTTGAGCAAGTCTTGGATGCTTTGCTCAATTCTTCAGGTGCATGACTGAAGCCCCCCTACTCACTCTTCCTTTCAGTTGTTAGCAGTTTTAGGTTTCTGAGAATTCTCTCTTTTTCTTGTTGGCTTAGCAGCATTACTTTCTCTCAGAAAAACTAGATGAAAAGCTCATTCAGGCCAGGCAAGTAAAGGTACTTTCCCACAATTACAAAGCAAGTTCACAACAACATACTTCAGTGACTGCAGAATCAGCTTTTTATTTAGGATAGACTGCTATGACTCGAGATATTTGGCTGAAAATACACCCTGAGGGCTCAATATATTTTACTGAAGACATTCTTAAAGAATAAGAGCCTACTTCACCCAGTGAAGACGTGCTCAAGACTTGTTTACTCTCCCTGAAAGTAGAGAATACTACACATACAGGTTTTATTCAGTTTTCAAAAAGAAACACAAGATGGGGAAGATGGGGGGGAAATCATTTTTAAACTGAGTGCCTTTGTTTTTCCTGTAACAAATTGACAGATATTGCCAATGCATTTGATCTCTCTTAGTCTTTTGATTTGCTTTCTTTCCATGACTGCCCTAATACTTTTCAAAAAGAAAATTAAAGGTCTAATATCAGCTTCTTTCTACATTCTGTTACTCATCCTTTCTCCTCCAAAGAATTTAAAGTTCTGTCAGTAGGCAGAAAACGTTCTAATCATACATATCATAGAAAATAGCTACAGCAACTCCCACTCCAGAAAAAATAACAGGATTACCAGTATTTGTGTCTTCTATTTCCATATAGAAAGATCTAAATGTAATCAATAAAACACTCTCAAAGCACAGAAATTAGATATAGCTTGTGAAAAAGTAGAATACAGAGTAATCAAAAATTAAAACTACATTTTATACATGCAAAAAAGGGATATGTTGCTCAGAACACTTACCTGTATGACTGTTAAAGTGTGCAAAATTAGCAAAATTTGCTGTTGCAGTTGACTGAGGAGCAGGAGCAGCAAAGATATCTGAGCCAAGGTCACTGAGAAGGTCAAATTGTTTCTTTTCTTGTTGCTGCTGTCCTTGAGACCGGCCTACAACAGGAGACTACAAACAACATCCAAATTAGCTAAAACCAAACTGATGTTTTACCAAATTGGCTTTTACAAAATGCTCAGAAGAAAGAGGACAGACTAAGCTTATTTAAGTCATTTATTCTTGAAGTTCAAGGTGCTGCATACAGCACAAACCTTTCTCTTGCAGTAGGAGGAAGATGTTACTTTACAATACTATGGCAGCTTTTAAGTGAACTCTGCAGCAGACTTTTGGATTAAAGTATCATACAAGGAGAAATTAGCAGCTTAAAAGCTGCAGTGTCAAAATTATGCATTTCCAACTGTAAACACTGTTCAAATGTGAGCAATAGAACTTTATTTTACAAGTTAGAAAATAGTTATTCACTGCATTCTGAAGAAGTTTTCAGAATTCAGCGCGAGGAAAATACTGAGGAACATCATAGGAAGACTCCAAGCTCCAAATTTCCACTGTGAGTCTGTAAAAGGTCTGCTGAAGAACTGTCTGCACCCTGAAGGTAAAAACATTTTTTCAAAAGACATCTTTTCTTTTAAGTATGTACATAGTGTTGTTTGGCTTTATACAACAGCATACAGAGGCTTTCTAAACAACACTTGGTAAGACAGCCACAGAATACAGAGAAAGTAATAATGAACATGCATGTTTCTCACATATATGCTCTTAACCATTAAATGAATGAATGTATGTCAGCCATTTTGTTTCTTAAAGCAAAAAAAATACTTGAAATACAATGCACTAGATTCAGCATATTGACATATTTAAGCAAAAGACAACTGTAATTAGACTTGCCAGTCACTCAAAAAAAAATCTGCGTTTTGAAAATAATCATGAAAAAAATCATTTTTATTCCTATAGAAACAACTTTAAATTTAGAACCCGATCTGTAAACAACTATATGCTTCAAGAAACCACATAAAATAAGCTTAAATGGTTATAATATAAAAGCTACTACTGCAAAAACTCCTATGCCACTGAACAAGAAAGAGATATACTACTGAACAGTTCTGTCCTTTTGTTACTCACCTGGCTAGGTGTGCCCTTGTTTAAGTGCAGTGCAGGTGCAGCTTCTCCCAAGAGAGATTTGAGGGGCTTCACCTCAGGCGTGCTGCTTGTACTACTAGCAGAAGACCCCGATATGGATGCATGGACTGATGCCACAACCTTTGCTTGCTCTGGAGGAACATACCTACATCCAAAGGAACAATTGTTTTTACAAGTTTAGCATGAAAAGTTCTGTCAAACATCCACCAGACTCAGGCGTGAAAACTGGTAGATCTCAGCTTTGCTGTTCTAACCACTAACCAAACAACAAACCATCAGTAGTTCGCAAAATGCCCGAGCTAAATGTCAGAATTTTTTTTATGGACTAGAATGCCAAGTCATTCATTTTTAAACTTTTGTTTGGAATACAAACCACCCACACCTTCTATCTCTTAAGAAATGCCTGCATGACTCCTACCTTACAGGGCTGTTGAAATAGAAATGGTTTAAGATAATGTCATCAATATGAACTACACACTGAGAAAGTTCTTTAAATACTTTTTTTCCCTCTTGTGCTTTCCTTAGGATCTATGAACAAAAGTTCAATAAAGCATTTTACCCTTAGAGTTGTGCAATCTAGTCTAAAGAACATACAAAAGGGAAAGCATACTCAAGAATAACAGTCAATATTTACTTCTTGTCACAAGCAAACACTGTAAATTGCAAAGCTATCTTACCATCTTTTCTTCTCATATTTTTCCTGTAGAAACTCCTTAACTTTCTGTGGATCCCTGAAGTCTGGAATTGCTGATGATCTATCATCAAATAGGCCTAGCCATATCTGTTTGCACACCTTAGAAGATTAAAAATAAAGATGACTGGTTAATAACAGAAAATATCTTAGTTCAAAACCTATTGAAGTTTACGATTGCTAATGCAGTCAAAGCATTAGAAAGCGTGTGGCTGCACAGTTCTTGTTCCAGATCAAGCTTCTGGTGCAGCACGTTCTGGTCTAAATACTCGAAATCGAAAGACCATCTGTCTCTGCAGGGCAAGAGAATCCCAACATCCAATTTCACTGGAAAACATTGCTTTCGCAAAGTATTTGCAATATGTTTTCATAAAATTGTCCCTCCATCTGAATGCTTCTTACAATGAACTTTAGCCCTTCTGTTTCACTTCTTTCTCTACACAGCATTACTTGTACTTCACAGTTTGGAATCTGTAGAAGCAGTTTATGTTATATCATGAAGTCCCAGACAGAAGCTTTAAAATATTCCGATTTTACTATTTAAGATACTGTCTGGATATAAGATTTTTATTTATTTCATTTTATTTTTAAACAGTCTTACCTTTCTCTAAACTTTAGATATCATTTTGGTATTAAATATTTTTTAAGAGGCCATCTATTAGAGAAGAGGGAAAAGACTACTTTTTCTTTGATCTCATTTTTTAATTGCAGTTGTGAGTTAGAAAGAGTCAAACCAACTGCAAAATACGTTTCCGCTTGAATTCCTGACAAAAAGGAAAGGTGACTGTTCTTGAAACCAAAAGACACAGAAGTTTTTGTACTGTTAAAAATCAGCACTTAAAATACTCCATAGGTAACCTGAACATACATCTGAACAGCATACCAGACATTAGCTAACCCCTAGAAACAGACACTGCCATTTTAGATGAGATTTCTTCCAGAGAAGCAGAGTCAAAAGACTTACGATGCACACCTTTCTTCCCACACCATTTCTGAAACCATTCTGGCCATCCCTCTAAGCCTCCTACAACTGCTCTCTTCCATCCCTGCAGTAGTATCAGGCCTTCAGCATCATCTCCAATGACCTTCAGAGGAAGCATGTACTCTAACAAGTATAGGAGCTGCACAGACCGACTGCCTTGAAAGCTGTCAAAAAAGGTATCAGCTGTGCTACTTTCACTACATCACTTTCCCAATACAGGCACTAACTCTGGTTGGCTGGGGGCGGGGAGTAGGGGGAAGGTGAGGGTGAGAGGGTGCAACTTTTTGTAGCCACTTCACTCAAATTGGAGCAACTTATCTTTGGAAACACTGGTCATCAAATTTGATCAGTCATTTCAAAGATTTATCTGGACTAGACAGACAGCATAAGTACATATTTCACATTTGACGTCTCAATTTCATTCAGCTTGATTAAATCTAATACTCCATTGTTTACTGGATAAGGGCAAGCAATGAGAAACATTTAAGAATCAAAGGACAGCTAAGTTAATGATTCAAATACTCATCTAAAAATAACATTAGTAGCCTTTATTTCAAAATAAGTTCATCAGTTATACAGTACTCATTTAACAACTATATTTCAAAGAATTAAGTTTAATATACTGTTCAGAGTTTGCAAAGAAACAGTCATCATTTACCGTCTGGTAATAGATGAAATGAAACCAAAGGTAACTGTGTAATACTTCTTCATATGAATAGGTTACAAACCACAGACTTGGTTAAACTCAAAAGCCTGCCCTAAAATAACAGCTAGGAGCATGAAGCACTATTTTACACAGCAACAATCCTTCAGTCCATCTAAGCATTAATTCCACTGACAAAGTACACAAACGGAAAACATTTACAGGTCTAGCTTCAGAAATCTGTAGATGATGCTCTGATGTGGGCCAGCAGTAGCATTTTCACGTTTACATTTGTAAAACTGTACCAACTAGCAGCCAGCTGACTGCTAGGAGCAGAAAAATCCTGTTCCTGGAAAGATACAGCAGGAATTGGTGTACTGGAACTCGCACAGTTGCTGTGTCCCCTAGTCCCTTCCCCAGTCCCAGCTTCAACATTTCAAGGAACATCCAGAAGCACAGATGGAAAGAGCTGTACCTAATTTTGGACAAACCCCTGCTTTATCCTGCAACTCATACAAAGGGCTGTACACTGATCAGCAGCGTGCATCCAGCCTAAAATAAGATAATGAGCAAAAGAGGCGTTGCTCCCTACCCATTTCAGGCTGCTGAATTCTTCCCATTTCTTCTACTACACCAAAATCAGATCCAAGAAACTTATCATAATTGCCATGTCACTAGTAGCAAGGAAACTCACTGTGAGATCACCTCAAATTCAAACCACGGGGTTTTTTGTTGTTGTTGTTTGCTTTCATTTTTTAAGTTCCTCTTCTGCCTCATCTCCACCCTGAAGTGCCTAAGCATTCAGAGGGTGGAAGAATACTGCCTCAACTACCCCCTGAGCAATACTGGCTATTTCTAGGAGAAAGAGAGATCCTTTACAACTTTGGGTCATTACCAGCTACACAGCCAGAGGAGGCAACAGTTATATGTATACAAATAACTGTAGGACTATACAAGGAGGACTGCACTGTCCAAATACACAGCTGGTTTAAAATACTTGATGTGAGCTTCTTGAGGGAGTTGCTTCTTGCACGTTGAACCTTCAAGCTTCCAAAAACATTTCCTGGAGCAACTAATTTCTAAGCACTAACACAAAAGCAGTAACTGAATATGCCTTAAGTCATTCTAACAACTAATTAAACCTGGCAGGCACCCTTTATTGGCTCTCTGTCACCAGAAGCAAGGAGAAGAGTATTTCTAATACTTGTGTTAGAGGGGAATACCACAACACATAGCACCCAAGCAGAAAAACCCACATTTAGTCTCACATGCTTCAGCAAGCAATGCTCATTTATTCAACAGTTTTCACTAATATTTCTACTACCGTTGAACTTTCACACACCTTAGTTTCTTTATATAAAGGATTTGTAGAGAGTAAATAAAATGGGCTGGAAATCTTAAATACAAATGAGTCTTTTTAGAAAGCCTTTTTTTTTTTTTTATAAAGCTTTAGTATCACATGAGAAACTAATAAAAGACACAGTTATGTCTATTTCTGTATGAAGTACCACCCAACGCTTTGAACATCAGCAGCCATTGGGAGCGAGCACAATAAAAGGCCTGTTGTCTTTGCTTGCTTGCTAGTGACCTGTATGCTCTTTCTAGCTATACTTTTGTTACTATCATCTGACTTGACAGGGATCCACAATAACACATTGATTATGCTTCAAGCAAGCTGTAAGAGACCATGGTCAGCTATCTACCAAAAAAAAAAAAAAAAAAAGCGGAAAGCTGCACAGTATTGTTATAATTTCCAAGTTTGATTTCATCTTACAAGGAAACATTAATTGTAGTCAGAGACAGAACTTATTAATGCTGTAATTTGAAATAGTCACCTTTCTATCATATTAAGCTAAGAAGTTACTAATACAATAGCCGGTGCAATGCAGTTTTATTGACCAGATTATACTGTTTATTATTTTACTGCTATTTAAGTATTAGTCTTATAGGAAAGCTCAAGGAAGTGTGCTTCTTAAAATTAAATGTTACATTATTTGAAGTTTAGCTGTGGTGGGGTATTCAGCACTTACATCTAGGGTATCCTACCACTCCCCACTTACCAGTTTTTTAAATCTCTACATGAATTTGACAGCACTTGAGATACTACAAGATTAATCATTAAAAAAAAAAGCAGAAAATCAGATCAGCAACTTCACTTGAGAACACTCCAGTATCAGCTCCAGTTCTGTGTTCCGTCTGGCCTGAGTTGCCTCAGGACATCTGGACAAATTAGCACACAGTCACTCACAGCAGGTGCTGACTTGTGCTCAGGCATTACCTCCAGCACATGGAAAAAAGAAAAAAAGAATAGGTGCAAAAAGATGGCAGAGGGCACAGAAAGCTTCTCAAAAACATGCTTTACGGGTTTAGATGTTCTGTTAAAGATTTTGAATATTAACTTACTATAAGAAAAAAAGAGAGAATATTAAAAAAACAAATTATTTATATGCTTTGGGATATCAAACTAATTCCTTGAAGATCATGTATTTTTTAAATAAACACCCAACTACCTCATACCTGAATCAGCATTGAAGGACTAAATAGGAAAATGCTACTGCCCAAGTTTCAAGATACATCTTAAGCTCTATTCTCACAGAATTACCTCCTCTTTTCTTTCTCAAACTGTAGTATATGAAGTAACCAAATCCATCACAAAGTTGCACAACTTCTCTATTGAGGTACCAGATCTGAAATGCTAAGGCTTCCTGAAATCCTTCTACTTATTCATTTTCTTGAGCTAGCCCTGGTTCAGCCATTTAACAGTAATATTGTTCTTTTCAGAACAGCAGCACAAATTAAAGCTTCTGCTCAAAAGCTCTGTACATCCACTAAAAGCTGTGCTATACTCCTCCTTTTGATAACCAAAGCTCTATTAGACAATATGCTCTTCTTAGATGAGAAGAGTCTGGCAAGTGAGAGCCAAGAGTAAACATTCAAGTTACATGGGATCCCCTAGAAACAGTGGAACATATCCAACAATCCATAATCATTGTCCACTGTCCCTGAAAAGTATAATTAGTTCATGTCCCACTGGGTCACCAATGCAGCAAGAAAAAAAGACATGCTGAAGTCACAATGAGTAAGTGCATGCAGCATGTGAAAGTCCAGTTTGTTGAAAGGTTGACAGATGGAATACTTGAAGTTTTTCTTGCCTCTACTGCTTCACAGTGAATATCATAAGAGCTGCAAAATAGCAAGATAAAGCAAAGTTGAGCAAACCTTGTTAAGTGACAATAATTAGAAGAAACAAAGACTCAGAATAGCTATCCTAGTGGGATTTTAAAGTTTGTGAGGACATTTACAACTGGTTTGGGAAGAACAGCATCTGTTCTCTGCCAACAAGCTCCAGACCTGTAAGGGATGTCATTAGACATTTGGCAACTAGATACTGGAAAGTGCAGAATTAGATCAGCAAGTACAGCATGCAGCAATAAGGAAAAGAGAATCACAACCAGCTTCAACCTACTCACCCTGACC